TAGAGTGAATATAAGGTGTACCCAGAAAAATGTTACCAAAATATGTTTTGTATCATTAGAAGCGGAATTTTACATCCTGCAAGAAAATAAAAACTCTTCTCTCATGCATCTTGGAGATTTTTACGGCCGTTTTTCTGCAAAAAAAAGACACAAAAAACAGGTGCTATAAGTTGAAACATGGTTCTTAGCTACTTGAGTATTTTACACTTGTCAATGGTTTTCATGCACAGTTCATTTTGAATTGATTAATAGGATTTGGTCGTTTCAGTTGGTTCGATGGACAAACCTCTCGGTTTTGATATAGAGTTACAGCGAAACACTGATTTTACTTGTCCCGCTATCATGTAAATTCAGATATTACACTTGCCACAGATATTTTCTTGTTCCCTTTGCTTAAATATTTATATGTTGGCTAAGATTTCATTAACGATACCCCATTTTGTTTGTGATGATATTTTCTGGAACACCCTGATCTTATAATAACGGGGTCATACACTGGAATATATACCGTATATGTTGGCGTACAAGATGGATTTTAAACCTTACTCACCCACAAAAAATAGGGGACACTCTTATACTCCAGGTATAAAATATGAACATTAAATCCTGTGGTTTAAAGCAAATTATTAGCATGAGAGATTTTTGACGGTAGGATAACACCTGTCGCGTCTCTATTTTTTCGATTATGTTGAACAAACATACAACTGGATGTCTGTATCAAAAAGCCGTTTAAAGTCCGCATTCGAGAACAGTGGAATGAGTGGATGGTTAGTAATTCAGACTACCGTAATAGCATACCGAAAGCACCACCCACTCATGGGGTACTGTAGATTGTGTTAGTTAACTGACAATATCCCCCGTCGTTTTTTTCATTAGAATTTGAGCGAAAAGAAAGTATATGATAATTGAATTCAATACATTTTAAAATACGATTGTGGAGTCGTCTTGTACGACGAATATCGCCGGAAACTTACATTTTAACAGGAAAATTAGTACCTTGTACACCAACATATACGGTAATGGGTATGCGTCCAAATGATTAGAATGTTTGTATATCAACGTTCAGAACCTGGCTCGAATTACAATTTGGTCGATTTGCAAGAGACGTTACTTAATAATATAGGCCTGGAGGAAATGCTTGAAAAATTGCTTAAAACTTGGGTATGAAGTCATCGTGACCAAGCGTTTAGGCGTACTGGCTTTTCTCCTGAAAACATCAACTTACTTTTCGCTCAGCATAATTTTTGTATAAGTTAAAGTTGGGCTTTGTGGTGGTTGAAGAAGTACAAATGTGCTTGAGCAGGCGTCTACAGCAGCAATTAGCGAGATACCCTAGTAGACTTCATACTGGATTCTACGAGAACGTCTAAGAATGGGAGTCTATTTAGGTGGGGCTACCTAGTACACTTCATAGACTCCCCGAGCATGACGGATTGTTTCATATATATATATATATATATATATATATATATATATATATATATATATATATATACGCGCACTGATATGCACACACATACACAGGGATTTGAAAAGTAGGTATACAGTAATGAAAAACAAAATATGCGCACATAACGTATTATATTGATTACAAACTTTTACTTATTTTATACATTTAAATACTGTATATCTACTTTTACAGACACTTAAACACACACACATATATATATATACACACACACACATATATATATATATACACACACATATATATACACACACACATATATATACACACCCATATATATACACACACAAACATACATATATATATATATATATATACACACACACACACACACATATATATATATATATATATATTGTGTATTTGGGAGCTAATCCCTCCTTTATACAGGTTTCATTGAAAACTGCAATTAAGCTTATATTTTTCTGGCAGGCGCACAAGAAACAATTCTTACTCTATTAAAAAAGAAATCTTTATTTTTAAAAATTATTCATTAATTTGCTTTCCACATGTACACAGGGAGTGCATGAAAATTAATAAATATTTTTGGTCCTATGTAGTTTGGATCTTAAAGGCGAATTGTTATTATTGGAGTCGGTTGGTTTTAATTTTTTATAATAGATAATCTAATTAAACTTCTTGTTCTGGTCGACTGAAGTTGTGTATTTCTTAATGATTCTAAGCGAAAATTATAATCATATTATAAACGGATGCTTAACATTCTGAATGTGTTTGGAAATTTTAAAAAATTCCCATCCCTATAATATGCATATAAAGGAAATATCTACATATTCAGTTAAACAAGAAAACATCCTTGATAATGGCTAATAGATTAACCAAAAGCGTACGGATTCACAGATCATTTGGACAGTTCTTGCACACTTTGTATCCAAAGGTTAGTAGCTCCCCGTGTGTTTTTAAATGGTTCCTTTATGGAGCTATGATCCGACAGTTGCAAAATAAGTCGTCATCCTAAGCAAGTAGCTGTAATTATTATTCATGAATTTGTTTCCGTTGGGAACGCAGTCCCGTAACCGTAAAATGCACATAAACTCAAAATTGCTTTTGGTGCCATGTAGTTTTGATCTTGCTAGTGAATTGTTATTAATGAGGCTGGCTGTTTTAATTTTTTATACCAAGTTAACCAAGTTAAACTTCTTTTTCTAGTTGGCTCAACTTGTGTATTTCTTAATGATTTTAAGGGCAAATTCGTTCGGCTTATAATTAACGCGCATTTGATTTTTATAGAAAACGTTAATGTTATTACTATTGTTTTTTTTTATTTATGTTCAATCTTATTATTATTTACTTTAGAGAGAAGTAATCTAATTTTATTATATATAAAGTTGTTCGGTAAACCATTATTAACCAGAGTCTGTTTCACATTGCTAAGTTCTTTAAAGAATAACTGATGAGAGGATGAATTCCTGTGTAACATTCGCTCATAAAATTAAAATAGCAATGGTTTTTACTTGTTTTCTTAACATGACGAAGTGTTAACTATATTATTACTGGATTCTATGAGAACGGCTAATAATGGAAGTCTATTTTGGGGGCTAAGTCCGTAAGTAAATTTAAAAACGGAATTTCTTTTCAAATGTAGTTTTGAAGTTTCTGCTTAATTTTTATCTTTTAGGTTTTGTAACTTTTTCAAATACTATGTTTACGACATAAGACATAACATTAGTGAAGCTCGGTTCGAGTAGATTTCCCATGATGCCACTGTTAGTGTGTGCATAAATATTACAATGATGGTAAAGGGAAGGGACTTTAGATATACAGACGTACAGTAATTTCTTTGAGAATATTAGGTTTGATGGAGGAAGGCGAACGTGAATTAGGTTCATAAAGAGTGTTACGGATTATATCGATGGCTTCGTTTGTGAATAGATTTACTACATCCAGTGAGGCAAAAACGCCTTGATAATTGAGAACAGATTAGCTAAAGCGCCTGGATCCAACAGTTTTTACATACTCGCTGTCCAGAAAAGAAAATGACTTGTATGAGTGCAAGAAAAATATAATAAAAAGCATATATATATATATATATATATATATATATATATATATATAAAAAAGAGAGAGAGGAGAGATATCACTTGAACAGGAAACTGACAGTCACGATGACTACACCTACATCTGTATGTACAAAAATCCTGGATTAAGCGCTCTTTCTTCATAAATATCGCAAATTTTAAATAATCTCTCTCTTTTTCTCTCTGCATATATATATATATATATATATATATATATATATATATATATATAGGGTGCGATGCATAAATTGTCATCTAAATTACGCAAAAATGAAAATAACACTGAGATCATATTTTTAACATATATTTCGGAAAATTACACAAAAATATCTTGAAATGCTAAACAGTAAATTTATTCAGTAAAATTGCCATTGACTTCAAGCACTGCTTCAGACAACTTAGGTATCTCCTGTAACTCTTCCGGACAATCCCCTTGTTTAATTCGGTGAATGCTGCCATAATCCTTGCCTTCAGTTCATCTCTGGTACTACAAGGAGGTTTGTTCGTCTCTCGCTCTGTGCCCCACATCTAATAATAGAAGGGTTGCAGACTGAGGAGTTAGGTGGCTAGATGTAAGAGGTGATGCGGTCACAGAAATTGTCTAGCTGCCCTTCCGGGGTTTTCTTGCTTGTGTGGCATGGTACAGAGTGCTGTTGATAGTTATAGGAGCTTCCAACTTGATAGAGGCCTCCGTGTTGAGTCTGAGTTCCTGTGGGTAAATGAATGTAGGCATAATGTCGCAATCACTAGGGATCACTCCAAACAAACACCTTCGTAATCACCATTAAACTTATCCAACCTCTGCATTCTGCTCAGAGTCACACCTAAACACTGAAATGTTTGTATTGGAGATTTCGGCGCGAATACCAAGCATGCCGTTCCCAAATTTCTGGCGGAGTGAATTGCATCATGGTGCTCTTTTTCTTACAGACCGTACCCAACTGACCTTACTAATACTGTGCAGTCAATAAATTTTTTTAAAAAAAAGACAATAACGCGCATACGCGAAATTAAAAATATCAAATGGTGACAATTTACTGATCGCACCCTGTGTATATATCATTTATTCTTTCTTCGGTTCACTATCAGTCCGACTTAAAGCAAAAGAACACGGGGCGGAATTCAAGAAGAAATATTCACTTTTATACACAAGCATATAAAGTCAAGGACTTATGAAGGTGGGAAATATTTAGTTTCATTTCTCGCTGTATCTTTTTTCTTTCTTTTATTTCTCTTCGTCTTCCTTTTTTATTTCTTTCTTCCTCTTCTCGTTCTCTTTTTTCTTTTTGCTTTGTCTTACTGTTCACTTTCTTTCTTTCTTTTTGTCTGTCTGTTTCTTTGCCTTTGTTCGCCTGTTTATTTTCTTTTCCTTCTTTCTTTGTTTGTCTTTTTTTCTTTCTTTTTTCTTTCTTTTTTCTTTTTCTTTCTCTTTGTCTTCGTTTACATTTCTTTCTTTCCTTTTGTTTGTTTGTTTCTTTCTTTCTTTTTCTCTTTGT